TACATGTAATGGTATTATCATATCAAAAAGTTATAAATTTAGAAAGCAACTAATAACATATGTAATGGTATTACACTAAAAAAGTTATCAATGTAGAAAGTTACTAATACCACATGTACAATTTAGAGAAAGTTTACTGTTAAAGGAAGATAACATTTTTTAGAATTAAAAGTGTATTGCTACTAATGTTTACAACCTGAACAAACATAAAACAGAATCTAAACACCTGCTATCATAAACTATCTTGAGTATTATCAAAAAACAAACTATCATTGTCACATAACATTTTTATCACAACCTAAACATTAGCTTGCATATATCAGTCTATTTAACAAAACGAACTACACAACAATTGCCTTTCATTGGCACATGATATCATTTAAAAAATAGGAATTATTCAAAACCTAAACATTACCTTACGAGCATCAAGTCAATTTTATGCAAAACTAACAAATATTGATAACACTGTTAAACGTGAACGAGTCTGTATGCTATGGTGTTTATCTGATTACACTGTAACACGTCAACACGTCTGTATGCTATGGTGTTTATCTGATAACACTGTAACACGTCAACAAGTATGTATGCTAAGGTGTTTATCTGATAACACTGTAACACGTCAACAAGTCTGTATGATATGATGTTTATCTGATTACACTGTAACACGTCAACAAGTCTGTATGATATGGTGTTTATCTGATAACATTGTAACACGTGAACGAGTCTGTATGCTATGGTGTTTATCTGATAACATTGTTACACGTGAACAAGTCTGTATGCTATGGTGTTGATCTGATAACACTGGAACACGTCAACAAGTCTGTATGCTATGGTGTTTATCTGATAACATTGTAACACGTCAACAAGTCTGTATGCTATGATGTTTATCTAATAACACTGTAACACGTGTACAAGTCTGTATGCTATGGAGTTTATCTGATAACATTGTTACGCGTGAACAAGTCTGTATACTATGGTATTTATCTGATAACACTGGAACACGTCAACAAGTATGTATGCTATAGTGTTTATCTGATAACATTGTTACGCGTGAACAAGTCTGTCTGCTATGGTGTTTATCCGATAACACTGTAACACGTCAACACGTCTGTATGCTATGGCGTCTATCTGATAAAACTGTAACACGTGAACAAGTCTGTATGCTATGGTGTTTATCTGAACACACTGTAACACGTGAACAAGTCTGTATGCTATGGTGTTTATCTGAACACACTGTAACACGTGTACAAGTCTGTATGCTATGGCGTCTATCTGATAAAACTGTAATACTTGAACAAGTCTGTATGCTATGGAGTTTATCTGATTACACTGTAACACGTCAACAAGTCTGTATGCTATGGTTTTTATCTGATAAAACTGTAATACTTGAACAAGTCTGTATGCTATGGTGTTTATCTGATAACACTGTAACCCGTGAACCAGTCGGAATGCTATGATGTTTATCTAATAACACTGTAACACGTGAACAAGTCTGTATGCTATGGTGTTTATCTGATTACACTGTAACACGTCAACACGTCTGTATGCTATAGTATTTATCTGATAACACTGCAACACGTCAACAAGTCTGTATGCTATGGTGTTTATCTGATAACACTGTAACACGTCAACAAGTCGGAATAATATGGTGTTTATCTGATAACACTGTAACACATGAACAAATCTGTATGCTATAGTATTTATCTGATAACATTGTAACACGTCAACAAATCTGTATGCTATGGTGTTTATCTGATAACACTGTAATACGTCAACAAGTCGGAATGCTATGGTGTTTATCTGATAACACTGTAACACGTCAACAAATCTGTATGCTATGGTATTTATCTGATTACACTGTAACACGTCAACAAGTCTGTGTGCTATGGTGTTTATCTGGTTACACTGTAACACGTCAACAAGTCTGTATGCTATGGTGTTTATCTGATAAAACTGTAATACGTCAACAAGTCGGAATGCTATGGTGTTTATCTGATAACACTGTAACACGTCAACAAATCTGTATGCTATGGTGTTTATCTGATAACACTGTAATACGTCAACAAGTCGGAATGCTATGGTGTTTATCTGATAACACTGTAACACGTCAACAAATCTGTATGCTATGGTGTTTATCTGATAACACTGTAATACGTCAACAAGTCGGAATGCTATGGTGTTTATCTGATAACACTGTAACACGTCAACAAATCTGTATGCTATGGTGTTTATCTGATAACACTGTAATACGTCAACAAGTCGGAATGCTATGGTGTTTATCTGATAACACTGTAACACGTCAACAAATCTGTATGCTATGGTGTTTATCTGATAACACTGTAACACGTCAACAAGTCGGAATGCTATGGTGTAGCATTTGTGTTGGTCTGATTATACGTGAACAATATGGCATGCTATGGTGTGTAATATGGTATTTCTGATGACGTATATGCGCTCATTTATAAGGAAACTGACAACATATCTGTCATATCATAGGTCGACAGGTGATCGTAAGGACATCTTCAATGCTTCAGATGTTGCGCTCAATTACGTTTTTCTACATCCCTTGAATATATCGCAAAATGTAAGGCGCACGGCTAGATATTTGATTGGACTCGGGTAAAAAGTCCACTTGACATTGCCATTGAATAGACACCGCATACATCTAGTTTATGTACTTCTTGTCTATAAGGCGTATAAAGTAGGTCAAATATTGCTAACTTGTATGAATTAATTAGTTGAACGTCTGAATAATAGTTAGAGCTATTTATGGACGGGCCTTCGTGTGTGTAATTTTGCCTGTTGTGCTGGAAGCGGTATGTTGGTGTGTATCTAATGAAATACATGTACCCTACTGAAGGCACCAACTACAACATGACCTTTCAGGCTTGCCAGCTGATAAAAGTTTAACGACTCCTCTTTTGTTTATAATTGAAGTACTTTTCCGTCAGGTGGGCATTTTTTAAAAGGGGGGATTTGTTTTTATTCTATTTCATAAACACTCCAATTCTTAGTACTCGGAAAGGATAGAAACATTTGTTTACCATAACTTTTGACTGCGGTACTATGCGTAGTAATATGAAGATGTCATTGTGTGTGAAATCAGCTGACTGGTTGCACGAGAATCGTTGTATTCATAGTGTATTCATGGTCTAATGGCAGTTGTTTTCAGTTGGTAAATTCATGTACAGAACAAACATCAATAATGTAAACATAGTCCTATATATCAGACATGCATTTTTACCACCGGACCCGATGCCTCTACGTTTTCTATAGAAATCAGAACCCCTACTGATGTGATAAGGGCTATGTTATCTTGTTTGATGACACATTACAGATTAATTTCATGTCACCTGTTCGGTTGCACATTATATACAAAGTACTACTTCATACATCTAAAATGCCCCTATTGACCGAATTTTATTAGAACCTTTTTTTCTATCATCTATATAATATGTTCATTACATTGTCCATGCAGAAGCTGATGACGCACATCGAAGCGTTGCTATACAAAGAAATAGTATGACGGACCTCTGACTTTTCCGGGAAATGTTTAATATCCAGCTGTTTACCTGTGTCATAGTAGACCACGATTCACATATTTCACGTGGAGAGAATCGTGTACACAACCGCTGTGTATAGACTACGACCAGATGTAGTAATAGGTAAACATATGCTTCATATCATTAATCAATTGTAAGGGGATTTATCCTGAGGAAAGGGTTACCCGGAAGCAAGAAGAACGTACGGTTCTAAGGTGGGGAGGATCTGTCTTGGGGTGGGGGTTTGATGGCTGGGGGTCTTGTCCGTAAACAAATGCAGTCTTGGATTCGCAACGCTTGATGTTGATAATCTTATGCTGAAGCGAAATAAACCTGTATTAAATCTGTTGAACAGGTTTTTTTTTTAAATATTCTATTTCATAAATCGTAAAGAAACATACATGTCCGTACATAATAAAGTATGTACACGTTCATAGGTAATAACATATACATATATATACACGTACGTAGGTACATACGTATACATACGTGTATAAAGGTACATACATGTACGTGTGCATAGGTAAATATACGTACATACGTGTACATATGTTCATACGTGTACATATGTACATACGTGTACATAGGTACATATACGTACAGACGTGTACATAGGTACACATACGTACATACGTGTACATAGGTACATACGTATACATACGTGTATAAAGGTACATACATGTACGTGTGCATACGTAAATATACGTTCATACGTGTACATACGTACATACGTGTACATAGGTACATATACGTACAGACGTGTACATAGGTACACATACGTACATACGTGTACATAGGTACATACGTGTACATACGTGTACATACGTGTATACAGGTACATGTAAATACATGTACATATGCACATACATGTATAAAAGTACATACATGTATGGGTACATACACATTTTGTGGGTATACACATGTTCGTAGGAACATACACGTGCATAGTGACATACACGTATTTATACTTACATAGGTACATATACGTAATTATTCACACATAGGTACATATGGCATAAATACACGTTTAAAGGTACATACACGTACATTGGTACATACAAAATATACACGTACGTACATTTGTTAGGTACATACAAGTACGTAGGAACATACACGTATATAGATACAATGGACATACACGTATTTATACTTATATAGGTACATACCCGTACATATTTACATACTTATCAGCTTGAAATTTCATAGTTCTACGCCTATCGAATTAATATAACTTTTATGGAAATGATCATAAAAGAAGTAACATTTGCTGATAGTTGAGTCATTATTATAAATAAAACAATTAACTACAAAGAGGTTTTCGTGACATTCAATACTTGAAGATTGATTTTGGTTTTGTTCTAGGAGATTTAATTGGTTTACCATTGCCATTTCATGGTAGCTCGTGCTTGATAAAAGAAAAACGCTTTTAGCCTAATTCATTTTCTTTGCGCTTTACAGTGTCTGAATGGCCAGGACCTGTTCTCCGCCCTGGGGATCGCTAATGACAACGACCTTCTGGAGGATGATTTCGGTAGACTGTCCACAATGCTACTGTTCCATGTTCTCACCATACAGGACCACTGCTACAAGGCAGTGCCTGTAGCTGGCAGTCCACTCGTCTACAAGCAAATGCTCTTACAACTTCTCGACAATGACGCAGACGACATTATTGAGTTCGACGAGCTGTCTGTTGCGTTAAACGATTTACAGGACATATACGAGGACGATGATCACGACGACCACGAGGACGATGATCATAGCGACACTGAAATGGACGATGATCACCATGACGACGAAACAGACGATGATCACCATGACGACGATACAGACGATGATCACCATGACGACGATACAGACGATGATCACCACGACGACGATACAAACGACGACCACGATGATGATCACGATGACGACCACGATGATGACAACGACGATGATCACGACGATGATCACAATGATGACCTCCATGATGATCACGACGACGATCACGATGATGACGACGACGACGAGATCAAATCGACTGCCATACAAACCCAGGTAAGTTTCGACGCTAAGAGTTCGAATACTGTGTCATTTAATACATTAATGATATTTACTTCCTTGTCATAACCTTCTCTCAAGTACAATATATTTTTCAAACAAGTAAATTGTGCTATGGCAGTATAATTGTATATAGAACCATTACATTTTAAAAACAATTACAGTATTCGTGACAGATTATTTCTATCGTGGTTTTGATTAAATACATATTGTTGTGAACATATTTTTCTAACTACTGATGTGTGTGTTAAACAGCTTTAACATAATATGTTACAACTATCGAAACGATGGTTAAACACGTTCTTTTAAAAAAATCGTAGAGTTGATTAAACGTTTTGAGAGATTATTTCATTACTATCATAGTTTTGGTTAAACAGTGCTGAAATATTATGTTTGTATGTTAAAAACCTATTTAATTTTCTCATTACTAATGTAATGAAGTATTTCACCAATAACAAGTTCAAAACGTTTTCATTAAATTCATTATTGTTTCTTTTATTGATTAAAACTGCACAGTGTATAACTGATTCGTTAACCGTTTTATTTGTCTATTTCTTCTCTGCATCGCTAAATACTTTCGTCGTTTACAGTAAGGTTCCAATAGATATTGCCTCCAGGCATTTCAAACCACAAATTAGTTTGTAATAAAAACGCGTGTAGTCGTTGTAACAACGGACCAGATGAAGTCAACCTGTGGTCTATACCCGGCAAATTATATAATTACAGGGTTTATTGATATAGAGCTCTTCAATAAGCTTTTTTGATAAGTGAAGCATACCATTATAATCTAGCGTACAGTATTAAAACAAATTGAGACGGATAGGATCTTATGTGAAACAAAATCTAGTTCGAAATCAAATACACATGTATGTAGGAATGCAACGAGTGTACATAGTGCACGGTCACATACCATCACACAGCTAAGTATAATGGATTGCCTGTTATCTCTAAACACATACAAGGTAAACAACACTGTGATATGGTAGGTTTGTCCGGGGCATATGTAGTCATACAAAACTGTGATATGGTAGGTTTGTCAGGGGCAGATGTAGTCATACAACACTGTGATATGGTAGGTTGGTCTGCGGCAGTTGTAGTATTACAACACTGTGATATGGTAGGTTGGTCTGCGGCAGTGGTAGTATTACAACACTGTGATATGGTAGGTGTGTCTGGGGCAGATGTAGTCATACAACACTGTGATATGGTAGGTTTGTCTGGGTCATATGTAGTCATACAACACTGTGCTATGGTAGGTTTGTCAGGGGCATATGTAGTCATACAACACTGTGATATGGTAGGTTTGTCTGGGCCAGATGTAGTATTACCACACTGTGATATAGTAGGTTTGTCTGGGGCAGATGTAGTATTACATCACTGTGATATGGTAGGGTTGTCTGGGGTAGATGTAGTATTACCACTCTGTGATATAGTAGGTTTGTCTGGGGTAGATGTAGGATTACATCACTGTGATATGGTAGGTTTGTCTGGGGTAGGTGTAGTATTACATCACTGTGATATGGTAGGGTTGTCTGGGACATATGTTGTATTACAAGACTGTGATATGGTAGGCTTGTCTGGGGCATATGTTGTATTACAAGACTGTGATATGGTAGACTTGTCTGGGGTAGATGTAGTATTACAACACCGTGATATGGTAGGGTTGTCTGGGGCAGATGTAGTATTACAACTCTGTGATATGATAGGTTTGTCTTGGGCATATGTTGTATTACAACACTGTGCTATGGTAGGTTTGTCAGGGGCATATGTAGTCATGCAACACTGTGATATGGTAGGTTGGTCTGGGCAGATGTAGTCATACACCACTGTGATATGGTAGGTTTGTCTGGGGGAGATGTAGTATTACAACACCGTGATATGGTAGGGTTGTCTGGGGCAGATGCAGTATTACAACTCTGGGATATGATAGGTTTGTCTGGGGCATATGTTGTATTACAAGACTGTGATATGGTAGACTTGTCTGGGGTAGATGTAGTATTAAAACACTGTGATATGGTAGGTTTGTCTGGGGTAGGTGTAGTATTACATCACTGTGATATGGTAGGGTTGTCTGGGGGATATGTTGTATTACAACACTGCGATATGGTAGGTTTGTCTGGGGCAGATGTTGTAATACAACACTGTGATATGGTAGGTTGGTCTGCGGCAGTGGTAGTATTACAACACTGTGATATGGAAGGTTTGTCTGGGGCATATGTTGTATTACGACACTGTGATATGGTAGGGTTGTCTGGGTCATATGTAGTCATACAACACTGTGCTATGGTAGGTTTGTCAGGGGCATATGTAGTCATGCAACACTGTGATATGGTAGGTTGGTCTGCGGCAGTGGTAGTATTACAACACTGTGATATGGAAGGTTTGTCTGGGGCATATGTTGTATTACAACACTGCGATATGGTAGGTTTGTCTGGGGCAGATGTAGTATTACATCACTGTGATATGGTAGGTTTGTCTGGGATAGATGTAGTATTACAACACGGTGATATGGTAGGTTTGTCTGGGGTAGGTGTAGTATTACATCACTGTGATATGGTAGGTTTGTCTGGGTCATATGTAGTCATACAACACTGTGCTATGGTAGGTTTGTCAGGGGCATATGTTGTATTACAACACTGTGCTATGGTAGGTTTGTCTGGGGCCTATGTAGTATTACAACACTATTATATGATAGGTTTGTCTGGGGCATATGTTGTATTACGACACTGTGATATGGTAGGGTTGTCTGGGGTAGATGTAGTATTACCACACTGTGATATAGTAGGTTTGTCTGGGGCATATGTTGTATTACAAGACTGTGATATGGTAGACTTGTCTGGGGTAGATGTAGTATTAAAACACTGTGATATGGTAGGTTTGTCTGTGGCATATGTTGTAATACACTACTGTGATATGGTAGGTTTGTCTGGGGTAGGTGTAGTATTACATCACTGTGATATGGTAGGTTTGTCTGGGACAACACTGTGATATGGTAGGTTTGTCTGGGCCAGATGTAGTATTACCACACTGTGATATGGTAGGTTTGTCTGTGGCATATGTTGTAATACACTACTGTGATATGGTAGGTTTGTCTGGGGTAGGTGTAGTATTACATCACTGTGATATGGTAGGGTTGTCTGGGGGATATGTTGTATTACAACACTGCGATATGGTAGGTTTGTCTGGGGCAGATGTAATATTACAACACTGTGATATGGTAGGTTTGCCTGGGACATATGTTGTATTACAACAATGTGATATGGTAGGTTTGTCTGGGGCAGATGCAGTATTACAACTCTGTGATATGATAGGTTTGTCTGGGGCATATGTTGTATTACGACACTGTGATATGGTAGGTTTGTCTGGGGCAGATGTAGTATTACAACACTGTGATATGGTAGGTTGGTCTGGGCAGATGTAGTCATACAACACTGTGATATGGTAGGTTTGTCTGGGCATATGAAGTATTACAACACTGTGATATGGTAGGTTTGTCCGGGGCAGATGTAGTATTACAACACTGTGGTATGGTAGGTTTGTCTTGGGCAGATGTAGTATTACATCACTGTGATATGGTAGGTTTGTCTGGGGTACATGTTGTATAACAACACTGTGATATGGTAGGTTTGTCTTTGGCATATGTTGTATTACAACACTGTGATATGGTAGGTTTGTCTTTGGCATATGTTGTATTACAACACTGTGACATGGTAGGTTTGTCTGGGGCATATGTAGTATTACAACACTGTGATATGGTAGGTGTGTATGGTAGGTTTTTTCTGGGGTATATGTTGCCATATAACACTGTGATATGGTAGGTGTGTCTGGGGTATATGTTGCCATATAACACTGTGATATGCTTGCCTATTACAGTGCCTTAGCGCTGGTCAGATATTTGATGAGCTGGATTCCGTCCTTGAGAATGGATTGGACTCGGATGTTTTGGATGACATGTCTGCCTTGCTTGTATACCACTTTCTGTCGAGTAAGTATGACAAAGCTAAAATAGCCCGATACTGCATGCACGTACGACAACCAACTTTGAAGCTAGAATGATATTCTGCGACATCAGTAAAGCTTTTGCAGGGTCTGACATGATGGTTTGAATTTTCGATTAAAAAATATGGGTTTTGCAGTAATATTTTGAAATGGTTTTCTTTATATCTAAACGATAGAAGACAGATGGTGGTTTTGGATGGATTTAAATCTAACTGGAAAACATTAAATGCGGTGTACCACCGGGGTCAGTTTTAGGGCCATATTTATTTTTACCTTACATAAATGATATCAAAGAAAATTTAATCACTTATGTCAAGCTTTTCGCTGACAACACCTCTCTATATGCATTTAAAGAGGGAAACAGACAGGAACCTGCTCACATATTAAATGAAGATTTACATATCATTTCTAAATATTGATGTAAATGTCTTCTTTTACTAAGTGTAACAAAGCCAGTGTATCTACATAAATGTTATGACTCGTTCCCAGTCTTAAACCGGAAATAATGCGTGCTGCCTCAAGTTTGCTTGATGCTTAGACGTTGCACTCTCTCTGGGAACAGTTAGCCCATACAATATCAGCGTATTCTAGGATTGGACGCACAAATGAAATATGCATAGTCTCAAGAGATTTGCTATCAATCTTAATCTGAAAGGGGAATGCTTACGTTCATCTGATACGGATTTTCAACCGCTTTGTGGTAGTATCTGTAAATATAACGGGATATAGTGGCTCTATGTGTCAGGGATACATAAAAAAAACATGATCACACGTCATCCACTTCCTACCTCGTCTGATAGTTCTGTGACTAACTAAGTCAGTGTACACAATGAATCCTTCTGCATGACCATCTCTTTCCGCTTGTTTTTTAGAGGACAGACTGAGTTCACAAGGATGTAGGATTTTACCAAGACCTACATTCTTACAGTCCAAGGTTGCTCAATTCGTCGGAGTGTCACCAGACGATACCTTCAAACTCACGGGTATGTATTTAAAGGGGCAATTTATAGTATCAAACTAGACAATAAGGTCATAGCAAGCAGGTTGTACTGTCTCCTATTGTATAACGTGGTAAACAAGGGTAGTAAGGTTTATCTATGCATGACGTATACAGCACGGTGTATACAGTGGGTTTGGGTTTTTTCTTAGATTTACATCCTTTTACAAGTTGTAAACAAAGAGAATGTATCATGTAAAAAGTGGTAGATGTATATGTTTATATTTATGTAAAAGGAACGACACAGAGAGTTTCCTAGTAATTCCCCAAGTCCTTTCATTGCTTTAGAGGTTAATCATGGGATGTGTTTATTCGCGTTGTCATGTCGACGTGAATTTATACATATCCTCATGTACCTATAAAGAATTAATGTAATACGGAATTACTCAGATACTGTTCTTGTCTTTTAACATTATCTTCAGTCTGATAATTATGGATTATGAAAAGTTTCTTGTACACAACCATAAGTGTTTCTATGTGACGTTTCGATGACTAGTACTGTATGCACTCTGTCAACTTCATCAGACAAATGGCCAGTGAAGCGTATGCTTACAAAGGTGTAAAATGATTTGTCTGAGGAAGGTGACAGTGTACATACCGTACTAGTCATCGAAATGTCACATAGAAACACTTATTGGTCGTGTAACGAGAAACTTTTCATAATCTGTGTGTCATTAAGTTTATATTAAACAATCACAAGGTCTTTTAGATGTCCTTTCACTTGGATATATTTGTATTTTCATAAAAAAGACCCACATTTTACTAAGGTTGTTATTGGTGATTAACAGTATCGTCTGTATCGTTGATTGTCAGATTTGAGGAAACTTTACAACAGCCTCGATCTGGGATCAGGTTCTGGAATGGCGACGAATGCTGCCGTTGACGATGGCCACGACCACAGACGCAGAAAGCGTGCGGCTGCTACTGGTACAGATATGCAAGCTGTAGGTTATTCCAAGTTTGTCATTGAAACAAACAAAACATTAATAGTAGATTGCTACACATGTAGATATATGAGACTTTATAATTGTTCAAAGTACTACGTTGATGGCTATGAGTTTTACTAACAATGGGATTCAAAAGTACTGCAGCAACAAACTATTTGTATATATACACTATCCTTTGTACTAACTTTTGTCTGCGTACGGTATGGAGCTACATTTGACCGACATACTTATTATAATAACATGCATTTGACCGACATACTTATTATAATAACATGCATTTGACCGACATACTTATTATAATAACATGCATTTGACCGACATACTTATTATAATAACATGCATTTGACCGACATACTTATTATAATAACATGCATTTGACCGACATACTTATTATAATAACATGCATTTGACCGACATACTTATTATAATAACATGCATTTGACCGACATACTTATTATAATAACATGCATTTGACCGACATACTTATTATAATAACATGCATTTGACCGACATACTTATTATAATAACATGCATTTGACCGACATACTTATTATAATAACATGCATTTGACCGACATACTTATTATAATAACTGCATTTGACCGACATACTTATTATAATAACATGCATTTATTACAGAAGTGATTGTTTTATCTTATTGTTTGACTCGATAGAAATCTAGTTTTGCGTTCGATTTCATTTAATTCCATGTTTTGAAATATCAATGATCAAAAATCAAACAGCCTACTTTGGGATGCTAGTTGGAACATTTGAACAGTTATATTTTCTGACTTTATACTATAATAATTACTATGTCATTGTTCCCGACAGTTCGAGTCCCCCCGGTGTTACAGTGCCGACGACCTACTGGCCATGCATGGTGTTTCCAACGGAAGTGCCATCCCTAAACAGACTTTGTTTGACCTGTGTCCATCTTTACTTTACCTGAAAGCTTATGACGCATGCGCCCCTCTACCTGCCAACAGATCAGTGATGTCCAGCTTATCGGAAGCTGAAAGTAAGTATCCGATATTTTTACATAATCTATGTATGCAATTTTAAGTATATAAATCTTATTAAATTCGATCATGTATACGTAAGTTTAAGTTTCGTTGTATGTTAAATTGTTTTAAAAGAAATTAACAAATAAATTGCTGTTAAAGTAGAATGACTGTTGTCAGTATATTAATTATCTATCTTTGTATGATAGTTTTTGTTTATACATTTTAGTGTACGGCTACAGTACCCTGGCCGTTCTCATCATCTGCCTGGCATCTCTTGGAGGGATATTCCTTCTCGGATGTACAGAAAACACTTCCTTATACAATGGCGTCATGGCGACCTTTATCGGGCTGGCTGTTGGTACTCTACTGGGTGACGCACTCCTCCATCTGCTCCCGGCGGTCAGTACCCACATATATAATAATTTTTTATATATTTTACAAAAATTACGTTAATAGTTATACAATATATATTAATACACTTGTTGGCCCGAATATTTGCGCACGGGGGATCTTCATATGGTAGGAACAAGTGATGCGTTAATTCAAAATATAGTGATACAAACCAGTGAATCCTATCACAATCATATCCGTCATATCACAATTATCCTCAAATGCTATGTATCTTTTTTATAAACATGTAAATAACTGTAGCTTTAGTTCTAAGAAATTGACACATTTATTTTAACTCAAGCCTCTGGAGCATGTTACATCTGTTTAAAATNCTTAACCTGAAATGTCGTTAGAGTTCTAAATTGATAAAGTTTTTATTTTTTTGTAATGGTTTTTCATTACATATACATAAACAGGACATTCACGCATTCTCACATATATCACATATACACACACGGACATGGATTAAGCATTATCACAATCATTTTCATTGTCATCATTCTATCATCATCAACATATCATCATCATCATCATTATCTTTATCATCTTCTTCATCCTCTTTCATATATACTTATTCAATCATCATCATTGCCATAATCCATCATCATCCAAAATCTTCAGTCATCATTTCATATATATCATCATCAACATATAATTATCATCATCATCATATCATCATCATCATACAATCATCACCATCATCATACAATCATCACCATCATCATACAATCATTACCATCATCCTACAATCATCACCATCATCATACAATCATCACCATCATC